TGAGATAAGAACAATTTAATACTACTACTAATAATATATGAATATATATGTGCATAATAATAACATATTCAAACAAGTGATGCACAGTGTAATTGCTCACCACCTGGTGATCAAGGCCTGTTCTGTCCCAGACTAACGATCCTGAAATAGATAAGTCCTGACACCACAATCCCAGATGAGCAAAAGGCCTGGGGAAAAAAAAGAGCTAGAGAGGGATAGTACTCAGAGTCCGAAAGTGAGAGCCCCCAGAAGAGCAAAAGCCCTTCTTTCCAGTCAACCCTCATTTTTATACTCGGCATGACACTGCGTGATATGGAATAACTTCATTGGCCAATTTGTCCCTCAATCCTACGTCTACATTCAAATCATAAGGGAAGTTGTGGACCCTCTGTCCCAGCTATGCTACCCCCTATCCTCTTGTGCTCCTGCACACTGGCAAGAACACGGCAGCTGAAAAGTCCTTGAGGTCTCAGTGCCAACTATAAACATCAGTGCATTATCAACATTCTTAGAACAAATCTCAGACTAAAACCAAAACACAGAGCTCTTCTAGCTGCTAAAAAGAACTAGCTCTGTCCCAGCTGAAACCAGGACACTTTTCAAACTTAACACTCACAGTAGTAGAACAGTAAGCTTTCAGAAAGGTTCAGCACAAATATCCTGCCACAGAGGTGTACAAGATGAGTTTGTTACCTAAATAGATGAACCTTGACCCAAGCTGACTCAAGTCATTAGAAAGATACTGCCTGCCCCCACCATTGTATTCTTCTGGCATTGGATGAAGTCCAGAAGTCCAGAAGCAAGGATCATCTGTTTGCGTGCGTAGGGTTTGCAGGCAAAACCGACACACTGCTGCTAGGCGTTGGCTCCTCAATGTGTTGTGAGGAGTTGTTGGGTTATCTTTTGTCTCTGTTTAAGAGAAGTTTCTTGAATTGCAAAGGCTGTAAATAGAAAGTGGGGCTGCAAAATATTACACCTTTTCAAAAGAGTTGCTCTCCATTTTGGCGCACAATCAACCAAGTCTCTTTCCTCCCTGGGCACAGGCACACATGTGGAGGCACACATGTTGCAGCTTGACAACTTCAGCAACGTTTAGCTGTTCTCATCGCCATGCTGGTGATGTTAATGATTAATGCTTTGAAATTTTTTTAAATGACACTTTACACTAATTTTTTTACTAAAGAGCCCTGCTTTTGTGTTTTTGTTGTGGGTTTTTTTTTTTTCTAAAAAAGTTTTTTTTTTTTTTCTAAAAAAAAAAAAGGAGCAGGGAGGGATTTCTCAAGTACTGGAAAATACAAGCAAGACCGTGCATTAATTTTGTGTTATTATATGTAGTGGTTTAAGAAACTATCCATAAACTATTTTTAATAAGTTAAGTCACAAAACTAATTTCAAATGTTTTAATACAGATGTCTATGAAGCGGTAATACGCTAAACATCAGAAAATAGCTAGAGAACTGTATTCAAACAGCTTAATAACTCAGCGTTTGTTAAATGTGTAATTCATCACATGAAGTCTTGAAAAAGACTTGTTTTGGCTTATTATTGGATATTTGGAGGGGGAGTGTTTTATAAGGAACAAATTTCGTATTTTTTACCACGCATGGCTGGAACCCAGCCTAACAATATAATGGAGAAGAAAATACTTTTTTCTTTCCCTATAGCATCTTTTCTCATAATTTGACCTATTTCCTTCTCAGATATAATTTTCGTAGTGCCTGATCTTGTTGTTCTTACATATTTCTTGCAGTAGCAGAAACTCCATTGAGTTTTCAGTCTTAACAACAGACTTAGAGCAGCACTTTACAGTCCATCTCTTCACCTCTAAACCAGAAGTCCTTTCTTACTGGCATCCAACTCTGAGGTGGCTTTTACTACTGTAATAAAATAATAACTTTGGGTAATTCCTTTTCTATTTCACTAGAAGCCAATACAAGACCTTCCAACTATCATAAATAAAAGGATAAATTTGGAATTGGCAAGCTTGCCAAATAAAACATTACCTCAGCAGGACCATGAAATTTAAAAAGAAACGTAACCGTGATGAATATAACTCTGACAAATGGGAAAAAAAGCGCCTTTTTTCTTGTCTAGATGTCTGTATGGTACATGCTACCTAAAATGTCATTACAGTAAAAAGTGGAAACATTCTCTGTATCAGCCATATAATAACAACAAGGGGTTACATGTTTTTAAATTAACCTTTTTCTTTAAGTTATAGAGGCACAACTCCCATTAACAAGGTCTCCAGTCATACCACAATTCATTTCTCTAACTTCTCATGCCCTAGACCTTGTGCTCCTCCCCTGTTCTGAAACCTTGCCCAGGGCTTGGGGTGGTGTGAAGGGCTTCCTTCAGGGCCCCAGCACTCCCACTGAGACAGCCAAACCATCTGCACCTCCCAAAGAGCCTCAGCTGCAAGAGAAGGACATTGGTCCCCTATCTCTTATGAATGAGACTTGGATTTTTAATAAAGTGCACAACAAGATGATTCAAGTGTAGTTTCAGTTCCTAGTGCAGCAATTTTGCAAGACTAAGGCTGTAACAGGCAGGCTACTTTTCTGCTCAGGGAGACTGAGCCCATGTTGCCGCTTCATGCAAAAACCGCTACACCTGCCTAGTGCCAAATTTCCTCCTCTGTCCAACAGCCTGAGCAATTGATGTTGAAATCTGACCCTGATTACTAAACCATAAACCATTCCAAGGTTCTTTGCTCCCCCTAAGGACCACGATTCCTCTGATGTTACCCACGTTTTCTTCCTTCTTGCGTGCTCTTCCCGTGACAGAGTTAATACTTTAGCTCTGTGGAGACTTTGACAAAGTAAGGTTGATTTTTTTCATATTCAGTGCCAAGTTCCCCATTAGCATTGTGTTGTTCGTTTAATCATTGCTGACTTCAAGTCAGTAACTTGAGCTTTGACTGAAGCTCCTTGCGTGGAAGGCATGTTCCCAGGAACCAGCTCCCCTCGCCAAGCATAATAGCACAAAAGCAAAACCTCGCAATGATTTTATAAGGTACAACCATTCCAGCAATTGTATATATTCATTTAAATGAGACAACTAAAATGTGTTAAATCATTTTAGAACCTTCCAGTGACACTGGAGCCTTTTAAATTAAAGATATAGTGAGCCTAGCTACCTTCAACGCTAATGACAAGGATGATATAACAGGCTATTTCTTGGCTGTAAAATTGGGAACTAGGGAAGCGTGGTTGAAGTTATCATACTTGAGTACTGCAGTCATGTACTGATGAATATGTGCTGTACCAAATAATAAAGATGATTTTTCCCAGGCACTTAAGCCCATTTGCAAGTATTCAAGGGGGGTTTCCTCCTAGCAATTTCAGAAATTTACTTTTAGCATTTGGCATAGTTTCTATACTAAATACCACTCCTAGAACAAAAGCATTTGTATACTATATATAAAGCATTTTGGTCTGCACGTTCTTTAGCCTATTTTTTTTTTTTAATATTACTAAGAAGTAATGCTGGACACACACCATCTGAAACATAATATATTTGGTCCATAGCCTTTCGCAAGGGAAAATGAGTTTCATACTTGCTTTTAAATCACACATGCTCCTGTGATTACATGGGCTACATATGGTGACTTACACTTTTCCAGACAAATGTCTGGATCTATAACATGTATCTGCTGAGGGCTGTCTTCAATCATGTGAACTCTGTACAAGCAAAACGTGTAGTTCTTTGTCTTAAATTCTCCTGCACAGTGTCATGGTGTGTCACTCAAAACAGATTTTTATTGTGCTGCAACGATATGTATTCATGTCCTTGTCATATAACGAAGACTTTTTTTTTTATTCCCCTGCAGTCGACAGTAAACTTTCGTACTGAATTTTGTCAACTTTCAAGACAGAAACTATGTAACAAAATAAATGGGGATAGTTCCCAGAAAGAGCATCAGGGAAAGGGAAGACGTTACAAAGTCTTTCATCAAGACATTTTCCTTTAGTGGCAAGTCTTCAAGATACAGGAAAGATTTCACTGCAAAGGATATTCTATATTTTCTAAGATCACAAAGCTCTGAAAATATTTTTTGGGGAAAGTTACATAGCCTTTAACAATTTCATACTTCATTGATAATGTGCTCCACTTGGCAGCTAGAAAATGGAAGGCTGATAAAAAGAAATGGGCCAACTTCCACACCCTTACTTCTGAAGCCTCAGTAAAAAGATGATGATTTATCCTAGCATTTGCATTCACCACTGGAAAGCCATCGTTCTTCTAGATACTACCCTGGGGCCACACGTCCCTTGGCACACTTCAGTTTCTAGCTTGATTCTAGGACAGCAGAAATCAGCCTTCTTTGCTGGGGGGGGGGGACACACTGCTAAATCATTATTTCCTTATAATTTTATAATATTTTCATAGTCAAAGATGGAACAATTCTTTCGTACTGTGATTTCATCATGCTGTTTCAGTGTGTACTGGCTGGCATCCTGGCTGGCTGTTTTAACATGTTTTCTCTTTTCCCTTTCTTTATAAAGACCAACTTGGCAAGTGCAAGACAAAGCAGATGCTAACAATGTGGCTTATACAACCGGGAAACTATGTTTTCACACTGATTACCCTGTTCTGCAGCATCCACCTGGGGTAAGGTGAATCCACTGACTTTTTCTCAACAGAAAAGGGGAAAGGAAAATGTTCCTACTGTGTGAAATATGGTTAGCGTTGAGTGACTCTGAATTTTGTCTGAAAAGAGCCATGTAAAAATAACAATATATTAATCTGCATAAAATAATCTACACACATGGGTATGTAATATATACATTATGATGCAAGTTCTACATAACAAGCCCATTACGTATGCCATAATTTTTAAATGGAAACTCACAAAGTATTGAGAATATTACCGTATGAGAAAGCATTAGGGTCCTACATGTGTGCTTCACTGCTGCTTTCACTGTATTGAAGAAGTTGGGCATCTAAGTGCTGTAGTTAAGTTGTGACATATCAAAGCTTAATCCACAAATTCACCAGAGAACTGAAAAGTAGTAGGAGCAGAAAAAAGGAACAAAGACAATCCTGGCAAAGTTTTCATCTATAAGCTTCATACCTACAACTTCCCTTTCTCATGTTGTGGAGTTCAGTTATTTCTATAATTAAACAAAAAGCCAATGTGGTTTATCCACAAGTGCACACCAAATACTTCACACTACCATTGCCTATTAATATCATTTAGATGCTGTTCGTTAATGTGGAGTAACAATGGAATAGGGCTTCATTAACAGAAAGCAGATTTGAATTAACTCACACCCTGCTATGAAACATTAGAAAAAAAAGCATAACCTTTTCATTCAAATGTGCTTGTAAGAAAGAAAAGAATTAAAGCATATTGAATTATTTTTGAACATTGTCCTGAATGTGCAGTTTTCTTTATCTACTTGTTACATGATATTCGAACTCTTAAGGTGTATTTACCTCTGTATTTGTAGAAATGTTTTAAAATGGATGATGATTAGTTTCAGAGCCATCCTGTAAAAATAATTTTAGCATTTCCTAGGTTTTGATCTGGCAATTATTTTCCCAGGAGATACCCTGATTTAAAAAAAAAACAAACCAAAACAAAACAAACAACTGATTATTAGATCTAGCAGAAACATTACCTCGCTAAAACATAAACCTAAATTCTCATTTGAACATTTTCAGAGATGTTTACTGTTAGTGCAGCACTCCTTAGCTGTGCCAAGCCTTGCTTGCCATGTCTATCCAAGGCTAGTTGCCTTGTGCTGCCTTCAGTGGGAGCCCTGAGTGCTCCCATAGCTTGCTGGCCAAAAGGAGCATGGCAGAAGGGCAGAAAACTGCTTCACCAAATTAATAAACTAACTTACATCCTTTCCAAGCGAGTCACCCTTCTGCACTGTTGGTTATTTCAGTTTCCCCTTTCATCACCATCATCAAGGACTATGGGTCCAGCTGGTGAGGAGAGTCTGGGACAAGCTGCTCCTCTTTCTCTTCCTGTTTTTTTTTCATTTTTTTTTTCTCCTAACTGTCTCAGAAATAATTCATCATCCATGGAAGGGAAAGGTGAATGCTGTTACCATTGGTACAACAGATGTATTTTGTGTAGTTGGGCTGAGATGCACGTTTACACTGAGCCCTCTAATGGCACGGGAAGTTTTACTGCCTGTGTCAGTAGCTCAGATTTACACTGGTGTAACCAAGAGCCCTGTTTAGACCACCTGCTCTGTCTTACCCCTTGGCAATTTCACTGTGAAGTGAAATGAAACTGTCTTAATCATAGTTTATGATAGAGGCACTGGGCCTGTTGCCTTCTGAGAGACACCTTTTCCCCTCGGCAAGCAGATAATTCACAGCGCACTTTATTTCTGCAAGAGAAAACTAATCCTCTTTGTTGAGGCAGACCGTGATGCATTTAAAATTATATGACTACCGCGAAGAGGGACTCAAAGGAAAGAAGCAAGACCAGAGCTTTGCAGTTGACTCACATGTTGCAAGCGTTAGAAGATATCCCAAATGGGATGGATTTATGAACATGCTACTTCAATTTTCTGCCTGTGTGATAGTAGTGTGTGCAGCTGCAGTAATGGGAACTCAGTCTTTCACTGAAAAAAAAAAAAAAAAACAAACCACCAAAAGACTAGAACTACAGATATGAGGGAAGTGATACTAATGAACTGTTAAATATGCGAGCTAATTCTTCTCGTAATGTGATGTTGATTCATGCCAGGTTCAGTTTCTCCATTGTATAAAGCAAACAGCTGCAGGAGGTGACAGTGAAGTTGTGGATGGATTTCATGTAGCCAACAAGCTGAAGAAACAAAATCCGCAAGCGTATCAGATCCTGTCCTCTACTGCTGTAGACTATACAGACGTCGGGGTGGACTACTGTGATTTTGCTGTGCAATGTAAACAAAGGATTATAGAGTGAGTTGGTTCAACAACATCGAAAAATGAAATTCCTCTTGTATGGTGGATTACGCATTGGTAGGAGAAGGTCTGGTCCTGCCACCTTGTGGGGAAACGCTGATTTAACTTGGTCAGTAGTTCTTTTGGAGGGGTTTTTTGGTTAATTTGGGGTTTTTGCCAGTTTATGACTTGTTCTGTTCTTTGTACCACCATAACGTAGTTTTCCTTGTTTGTTTTTGCCACATAGCATCAAGAAGTGGTGGTAATTAGAGCAGCTCCTAGATACAGACACAGCTTAACAGCAGTTGGGTCTGTTACTAAATTCCAGGAAATGTATGTATGTATCATGCCAAAGACAGGTCACAATTTGAAGCATTTATTTAGATTAAGAATTATATACTATAAAAAGATAAAAGGCAAATTTTCATAATCTCTTCTGAATTTAAAGAGTTTACAATTCTACAATTAAAGTGTATAGAATATAGACGTTTGAGGGTTTCAAGCGTCTACACTTTCTCCTGATTATCCCTTTTGCTAGCTAGGCTTAATTGTCAAAATCCAACTCAGTAACAAGCTAAATTTCACTGTAGAAACAAACTGAAATTCCTGCAGTAAAGTTTGGTTGTTGTTTAACCATCTTAAAATGTTTCAGTAACAACATAATACATTCCTTTTCCTGTCCTTCTCTGTTTCATAGCGTGGATTCCAGAGGCCAAGCAGTTCGCATCAATTACAATAATGCAACAAGAGACACAGTGTTTGACATACCAGCTGAAGAAGTGAGGCCGTTTTATGCAGCTTTAAAGGAATTTGATAATTTATTAAACAGTGCAGAACACAAGTTTACTTACAAGCTGAAACCAGGTCAGTAAGTTGCTTCTCTTCGCAATGATTTTTCACAGTTCTTTCCAAGCAGTCAAAACACTTGAGCATGGTTAGCACTGGTACTGAGAGGAAATGTCAGTCCTTCTGTCACCTGTTTTATTTTATACTGCGTCTTTACATAGAATCATAGAATGTTTTGGGTTTCAAGGGACCTTAAAGATCATCTAGTTCCAACCACTCTGCCATGGGCAGGGACACCTTCCACTATGTCAGGTTGCTCAAAGCCTTGAACACTTCCAGAGATGGAGCATCCACAACTTCTCTGGGCAACATGTTCCAGTGTTTCGCCACCCTCATTGTAAAAAATTTCTTCCTTATATCTAATCTAAATCTGCCCTCTTTCAGTTTAAAGCCATTGCCCCTTGTCCTGTCACTACACACCTTTGTAAAAAGCCCCTCTTCAGCTTTCTTGTAGGCCCCTTTTAGGTACTGACAGGCTGCTAGAAGGTCTCCACAGATTTCTTTCACAAAAAAAAACAAAAAGGGAGAGGAGAATAGAGTCTATATATTAATTAGTCCAACGTATCTTATAATCTTTATATTTCATCAAACCCCATACTATATAGGAAATTGTAACTTGTCATATCAATAGCAGCACGATTGAGACATGCCACGTGTAAGACTGCTGTGCTGTCATAATTCAGTGTCTGTTCATTAAACGATACACGATCACATACGTTTTCTTCTGCTTCATTTGATGCAGAGTATGGACATTAAGCCAAATGATATGTCTTTCTTTATGACATTGTAATTTGTTAGTGGGGAGAGTAGCTGCAGGAGTTGCAGAACATCTAGAAGATGGTGCAATTGCATAATGTCCGTAACGCTGAAGGAAGCGGAAGAGTGCCGCGGGGAATTCACTTGTCATCTTTGCTGAGACACCAAATGCCAGTGTAAAGCTGGATAAATGACAACAGGCCACTGCTGCTGTGCTGCTTTTTCTGGGTGGCCTCTGCAAGACATCTGGAGGCAGATTTGCAGAAGCACTACGCGCTCGAAACTTCAGCTAGAGTTGTACAGGGCTGTGCTTTAAACATAAAACATGCTGCAAAAAACACCCTTTACTCTTTAAAAGTCAGTCCGTGCGTATATTTAACATCTTTGGCCTTGATCTCTAGTCTTTCTTTCCCCAGCTATAAAATAAAGATATGAATAGGCCTTCATCTCTCAAGAGATGTTACAAAAGTAAATTCATTAGTGTATCTGCGTGCCTCATGTACTATGATGGTAGTATCTTTAAAGTGTCTATGAGAAAATTAACCTCTGTTGGGAATATGCAATAAAATAATTTATAAGATCACGTAATAAATGGTAAAACAAAGTACTTCACATTACATTAGTACCATCCATCCCATCAATTAAGGCACTAAATTGGTAGTAGAGAGGAGGGGAAGAAGTAAAGAAAGAGTACAAGGTTATTTAATTAGAGATTTATCATAATGGTGGCACAAAAGGGAGAAAAATTAAAATGGCATGCTAGCCTTAATTATGTGATTTCCTAACTTTCAATGGCTTGACTTTATTCTCATAAAATTCACTTAACAGGGACAGTAATGCAAGATATGTACAGTAAAAATAGCACCAGGCTGATCAAATAAAAATCATCCTAGTGGCTTTCACCCCTTTTATCCTTCCTGTGGATTTGCTTTAGTGGCTTTTCCACTCAAGGCCTGCATTTCTCAGCGTGGATTCCCCTACCACTCTGCTTTTAACTCCTAGTTATACAAGAAAAGATGCAGAGGTTGAAAGGGACCTGCCCTCCCTGGTTGAGAATGACCAGCTAAATTAACATTACTGTGTCGTCGCTGTGTATCTCCAGCCGAGCTACTAAAAACTTATTGCTCCCTAACTGTTGATATAAATCTACCTCCATGTTATCTGTTTGAAGGAATTATAAATATAACATACTGAATATTAAACACCGTGTAATCTCTTTATAGGAGACATAGTGACGTTTGATAACTGGCGCGTGCTTCATGGTCGCCAAAGCTACCCGTCGGGATCAGAAGTCACTCGTCACCTGGAAGGTGCCTATGCAGAC